TACTATTTTAGATGCAATTTTTTTGTTTTCAACTACGTTTAGTTTTCATTGAGTACTTATGTGTATTAAATTGATAACATTTCAGACATTGTTATAGATATTTTTATATTTCAATTTTAGTTCTCTTATGTAGTTCTCTATATAAATAATAAAGCTATATTTGGCAGCACGGCAATAACGGCTCTCGTTTTGCTTTATATTCATACTAGCTTTTGCCCGCGGCTTCGCTCGCGTTAAGAAGTATTATTATTAATTAGGTATAGTTTTTGCGGCTTTACTTTTGTTTAGCGTGTGTAAAAAATTAGGGCCTACAAAACTTCTTTGTACACAATATTCTTAACTAATCTGTCATTAGGCGCTAAAACTATCAAGCTATTGGGTGAACTTACTCGTGAGCAAGCAACATAAAACTGTCCATGAGAGAAGCAATGTTCTCTCAAGTCAATACCCGCAAATTTGAGAGTTTGCCCCTGAGACTTGTTTATTGTCATGGCAAAGCAGACTTTTAGGGGAAACTGTAATCGTTTAAATTCGAACGGGATATCATTAGGTATTAATGGGATTCGTGGTATAAATACAGTTTCCCCTTTCGCACACCCAGTTAATATAGTGGCTTCCACTATATTGCGATGTAACGCTTTCACTTGCAGTCTCGTACCGTTACAAAGTTTTGGTGGTTTTAAATTTCGCAACAACATAATTGGAGTGCCCACACGCAGAATAAGCTTATGATAAGGCAAACCTGGCGGTTTCAATGAATTTAAAAATTCTACAGGGTAATTAGTAGCGTCATCTGTATTAACCACAGTATCAATCGAAGTATAGACCCTTTCTTCGCCCTCAAACGACATGAGCAGGATATCGTTGAGAGCTGCTGCTTGATCGTTCTTTGCAGTAAATATGGCACGCTCACATAACCATTCAATAGGCTTGTCATGTATATGAATAATGTCTGGATAAACTTTAGACAGCAATTCTTGAACCGTAGTAACAACTGTGCACAATTCTTCCGAGATGGTTATCATTCCATCAAACGATGGAAAATCACCATTACCGATTTTAAGAAGGAGATATGAAAATCTACCAGCAGACTCATCCCCGCCCAAATGTGCTCTCATATTTTTAGAGAGCTTAAGAATATTAACCTGGGGCCACAAATTAGATTTCTTAATGCACGACTTTACTTCGTCAGCTCTGGTTCCTTTTCGCACCACTGGTAGAGTCTGCCGAAAGTCTCCGGCCAGCAAAACTGTTACGCCACCAATTAATTTTGTATTACCCCTTATATCCCTTAGTGATCTGTTTAAGGCTTCAATACCACTTTTATGAGCCATCGTTATTTCGTCCCACACGATTATTTTTGTACTCTTTAAAACTTCAGCAAAATTACTTTGTTTGGAGATGTTGCAAATGGGAGTCTCGGCAGTGATTAAATTGAGTGGTAACTTAAAAGTAGCATGAGCAGTTCGACCACCTTCGAGTAATGTAGCAGCTATGCCTGACGACGCCACAGCCAGGGCAATGCCGTGAGTACTTCTTACTTTCGCCAAAAGTAAATTAATAAGGAAGGTTTTACCAGTTCCACCTGGAGCGTCTAAGAAGAATATTCGACCGTCATTTGCATCTACACTTGTAATAATTTTATTGTAAACTTCCTGTTGCTCGTCATTCAAGGATGCTTCATTTTTTCTTACTGCGTCTTCTAAGGCCACTGTATCGTAACTGGTCTCCTTCACGTACTCTCTATTTTCAAAATGTATTGATGTTATTGGCTGAGGTAATCCATACTCTTTAAGAGGACGGCCGCCTAATGATAATACGGCATCCTCTAATACCGACAGGCATTTGTTAAATATCAGGTCCGATGAGTGCTCTACATTCACGTCACCTTGCCTTTGCAGTTGTTTTTTAAAGTCTTCAGAAAGGTATTCTTTGTATTTTTCCCAAAGACATAAGGGGTCGGAAACCTGGCAGAACAATAAAATGATAGCAAAAAGGTCTCGAATCATATGCGGTGTTTGACAAAGTGCTGCCTCTTCAAGAGCTGAATCCAAATGCCGATCATCTTCGAGTAGACCTAGAGCCTTGCACGCGGATTGGAAAGTGGGATGTAAGTGACCATGTACAGTTTTCAACGCTTCAAATGAAATTGGGCCTCTGATCTCATGTAGAAGCATTCGAAGGTGGTAGCATTCTGTATTGTTTGGATGAACAGTATAAACTCTACCTAGAACGTGTTCTTTTTTGACCCCTGACCATCCTTCAACATTCACTCCTTTCTTCCTTCTCTGAAACGATCGCTTGTTCCAAACGTAATACGCAGGGACTTCCGAGTATAGCAATGTTTTTGCAAAGTCATCCACGTTACACAGATCGAAAAAGGAGAGGAGTGTAGTTGTAGGAGGACTACTCAATTTGTCGCACAAGTTCTGCTCATTAAAATAAATTCTCTGTCCATTTTCTAAATGGACAGCAAGATGCACTACAGGAGGAAAACGCTCATGTATTGGGAATTGAAGGATTCGCCAAACTGCTTCAGCTGAACTTATATATCGACCACTTGCGTAGGTTGTAACTTCATCCTTCCCATCCTTCTCGTTCTCTAAAGTAAACGTAGCCTGATCTGACCCTTTATTAACATATTTGCAAACGTATTTGATTGACTTCACTGAATGGCAATACTCTACGTTCACGTGAGCGTTACATGTTCTTAATAGCACTGGATTATAAGGAACCACCCAACGATTATCTATTGTAACACCCTTGATATTGACAGAGAATCCACCGTCATCCAGAGAACGTCTCCTGTACTGCGGATAACCATCATCACCGGTTTGAGTTTCCTTAATAAGAGTCTTAGGATAACGTTTGCTGCACGAATTATCTTTCATGCATGGAGAATTTCGGTTTAAACTTCCACAGGGGCCATGTATCATATTACTTTTAACAATTTCGTAAAGCTCAGGATCACGATCAGGGTTAGGTATTTCAGCACAAATAATATTGTCAATTTGATCCGGAGTGATGCGATGTTGAAGCCATAAAAGTATATGAATATGCGGAAGACCTCGCTTTTGCCATTCTGTCGAATACATATAGCATCTCACTTCACCGAATATTTTCCCTTTTATCAACAAATCCATGACCTTTTTTACCTTTAATCGAAAGACACGCGAAATAATATCGTATCGATCATGAGATTTTTGTCCTGAAAGTAAGTGCTCATTTATGTCACTCCAGCGTGGGTTACATGTAAAAGTAATAAAAAGGTCGGGACGACCGTAATGTCTAACATAGGTCATGGCGTCTTGCGTTTTTTCGTGCATGTATCTTGGTCCACCAGTAAAAGATGATGGAAGTACTACCATTTGTCCCAGCTGATTTGCTTCAGTATCTTGCCGTCCAATTGCATCTTTTAAATGAATATAATTATCTGCGCGCAATTTGGCTTGATTGTTTTTTATGTAGTTTAGTCTTTCAGTTTCTATTTTTGCGTATTCATCTACCAAATATTGACTAAAAAGAGCGCGATATTTAACCAAAAAGTTATCTTCTCCTTCTCTGATCATTATTCTGTATGAATAAAAACTTAAAGCAGAGACTGTTTTTTTCAAGGGAAACTTAGTTGTGGGATCGCATTGTGGTATGTTGATTGAATAGCCATCATCCCCCCAGCAAAAACATCAACGGGTACTGCAGCGCGTCATAAGCTGGATGTATCTCCCTGATACGCTGAAGTGAGTTACTTCGGCTTTCGAGGATGATGTCTCTTCGGTCAAAATGCTGATCTACCAATACAACAGCCACTTCATTTGCCGTTGGTGCATTAAATCTGCCTCTGTGTTCTCTTTGTGGTTTTTTATCTGCATGTATTACGACCTTGAATGACTCTGAAGGCGATATTTTATCAATGGCTGTTTTTAGATCTTTTATGTATGGGTTCACCTCATGTAACATAAGCTGCAATTGTTTGATTAAATTTGGTCTCAAATCAGGAAATTTAGAACATCGAATATTAGCTTCTCTATCATGTTCACCGACGAAATAAATTTGCAGAAACTGTGCATACTGCCCAGGTTCCGGTAATATACTTCCAATTAAATGATAGACTTGTCCTTGAACTTTAAAAGTTGGTGAAAAACCGCCTTCTTTTATTTGTTTTCCACCAAAGGAAGTCATTTGAAAACAGGCATTATATTTTCGGATATTATCCATGAAGTGTACATGATTTGGGTGTAAATCATTAACCAGACTGTAAAGTGGTTCAGGCAGTTGTTTAAACGGCTCAAGTTGTACTTTACCGGCGCTACAACACATGCCAGGTGTCTCATCTTTCCACTTCAAGGCGTTACACCACTGACACTTGTACGTCATAGAACCTAGGACTACACTGCTGTCAGTTC